ACTAACCAGAGTTTTGGAAATGGGGACCTCCCAGAGTTCCTCGTTGGCTAACTTCAGTTTGCTTTAACAAATGAAATAGGCATTCTGATAACGCTGAATTCTGAATTACCCTGAAATTAAAAAAAAAAAAAACAAACTTTCGTACAATTATCTAGTCAACACACCACCAGTTTCTGAAGACACTAAAGAAAGCAGAGTAACAGCAAAAATGGGTATGCATGGAAAACTGGGGCTTCCAAAAGCAAAATATGTCTTTTTTAAAAACTGAGAATTTTGTTGTGACCGAAACGCAAAATAGCGCTATCTGAAAACAATTCAGACTCTGGAAATAATTGGATAAAAAATAACATGGGGGAGGTCAGTTCCCCATTTTAAGATAAACACGATCGACTACAAAATCATACCACAAAACGATTATCTATGAAGAAAGCTTCATAAAAGGTTCCCTCGCAAAAAGTTCGAGGGCAATGCGTGGGGACGTACTCTGCCTGTACCAGCAACTAAGGCGTCGGAATCGGTCCGCGGCGACGACCACCGCACAGGCCCCTCTGCGGACCCCTCACGCCAGTCCTCAGCTGCGGCCTGGACCAGCCACAAAGCACCCACTTTTCTCCGACCCAGAGCCCGACCGTACTCACTGTGAGTTGCAGAGGCGCCCCGGCGGGGGGAAGGTACGCTGCAACGGATAAACACACCCGGAGAAAGGTCGGGAAGTAAAGGGGATGAAAACTGTACTCCGACCACGGCCCTCCGGCCACTAACTTCCAAATCTGCGGAGGCACAACACCGTCCAGCACGCATCTTGCCCCAAAGGCACTTCCGGAAGCTCTCTAGGAGTCCTGGAGGTCTAAAAGCTCTATGGTCTGCCGACTGCGGGTACAGGAGTACCACGCCCCTCACCTGCTGTGTGCTGTGCCTCGGGTTCGTCTGCGTGCCTCAGGCTTCCCCGTCGCTGGGGCAGTGAACGTGCTGGGGAATAACGGACCTTGGTGTCCCCTCTGCCTTGTGTGCTCGTGCAGCTCCGCGCGTTCGCTGACAATAGTAACGGCCCCCTGGGGGTAGATATCCGACGTAGGGAGGCTGGAGCTGTGTAAGGAGGCTAGGAAAGTGTTGGAGGAGGGAGCACTTCATGGTTCCTTAGGATTCCAACTGGACTCGCGTTTGGCCCCGTTACATACCCTGTACTTTACTGTTCATAAATATATTCATAAATATATCCAGTCCTCCCACATAGAGTACAAACTTCATGAGAAATTCCTGCTAATCACAGTTCATAGTTTTGTGAAATCCCTATGGCATGGCACTTAGGAATCGCATACTTTATTAAGTGTTCAAAAAATCGTAATTAAATATATATTCTTTTTGGATCTTTACATATTTCCCACTCTTTCCTATGTTAATGAATTTCAATTGCTTACAACATCTGCTTTGCTGCTTAGCTGTTTTAATGCTAAACCTATGATGTAAGCTTGGGGAGTAAACCCTAGTTTTAATACCACAAAATTTGGGGAACAAATCTATGTTCATTCTTTTTTTGCTAGTCTTTTTTTTTTTTGAGACGGGGCGCTATTGCAGAGCGTGGTGGTGTGATCATAGCTCACGGCAGCCTCAACCTTCTGGGCTCAAGCAATCTTCCCACCTAAGTCCCCCAAGTAGCTGGGACTACAGGTGTTCACCAACCTCAGCTTTAAAAAATTTTTTCTTGTAGAAACGGGGTGGGGGGGGGGTCTCACTATGTTGCCCAGGCTGGTTTCGAACTCCTGGGCTCAAGTGATCCTCCTGCCTCAGTCTCCCAAAGTCCTGGGATTACAGGCATGAGCCACCGCCCTGGCCCTATGTAATGAACAGACCTGTTGCATTACAGCTTTTTAACTTTTGAGACTAATAGGATTTCAGGGGTGGAGGTTGTGGCAAGCGTTAATTTTTGTTGTTTAGGTCTCATGTATTTATTTCCTTCAGCGCCTTTCCCAACCACCTATTTATTGAGTTCTCAGGGCTCCTCCAATTTTCACCTTAATTTCCCTCTTTATCTGCTCCTGCTGGTAGCTACCACCACCGTTTCTATCCCTTCCCAATTACTAACTCCCCAAATTTTGTGTACTGACAAAGTTGTTTTGATTTAAGGGTTTTGTCATCTAATCATCACATGAAAACAAGTAAATAATAGTAAACACTAGGAAGCTACAGTGCTTCTGGACTCCTTCAAAGCACTTATTTTTGCTTTTTATTTCACAGCTGTTGCTTTCCACCTGGGATGGTAACTGGAAGTAACTGGTGACAGATTAGAACTCTACTTTGTTTCTTTTTTTATGTTTAAAAAATAACTTTTTTGGCTGAGCAAGGTGGCTCATGACTGTAATCCCAGCACTTTGGGAAGCTGCGGGAGGATCACCTGAGCTCAGGAGTTTGAGACCAGCCTGTTCAACATGGCAAAACCCCGTCTTGGCAAAAAATACAAAAATTAGCCGGGCATGGTGGTGGGCTCCTGTGGTCACAGCTACTCCAGAGGCTGGGGCAGGAGAATCACATGAGCCTGGAAGGCAGAGGCTGCAGTGAGCTGAGATCCTGCCATTGCACTCCAGCCTGATCAGTGGAGCAAGACCCTGTCTCATCTTAAATAAACAAACAAATAATTTTTAAGTCTGAAGTGCACATACGTAGTTGTACAAATTCAATGTGCACACAACTATGACTGCACATACTATGTATAAAATTGTGTACACATAGGAAGTAAAATAGCATCATGCTATAGGCAGTTTTCTCAAACTGGACACACAGACACCGATTATAAAGATAAAATTGAGAAATTTGACTTCAAAATTTTAAATTTAAATTCTCATCAGAATTTAAATCTTCTCAAAAAAAGCACCATTAAGAAAGTGAAGAAAAAGCTATACACTGGAAAATATTTGTAATACATCTATCTGACAAAGAACTATCCAGAATATATAAAGAACTCTCACAATTAAATGAATAAGATAATTCAACACAAATAGGCAAAATATTTGAACACTTTGTTTACAAAAGATAAAAGAATGGCCAGTATGCACACTAAAAAGTAATAATTATTCATCAGGGAAATGCAAAGTTAAAACCACAATGAGTTACCACCACATATCCATTAGAATGGTTGATAATATCACCAATTTCTAAGTTATCCAGGTTTGAGAGGCTTCCTTAGCTTACTCAATGAAATATGGAGATAAAGGAGAAATTATCAGCACCAGATTTCTCCTTTGAAATGTTACTTTTCTCCATTAATGTAACCACCATCCTCAGTTCTAATTAATTCGTACCTATGTGACTGCAACAGCCTTGAGATAGTCTTCCTAACTATCCAAGACGTGGTCCTTAAATATCATTATCATTCTTCCAATCACTAACCCTGAGTGGTTCCTTATCTCTAAGTAAAATTTAAACTTCTCTGTTTGCCTTTTATTTTTTGTATTTTTAAAAATAAATGAAACATGATATATCAAATTATTAAAAGCTGGTATCTCTACCCTCAAATGGTATTTACCTAGAATGTTGGGAGATAATTCTTTAATGGTCTCTCAAATTACTCCTAGTCTTATGGTAGATTTTTCTTTCAGGTTAGCTTTTCAAGGATATTTGTATCTCCTTTTAGAGCACAGTTGTTTCCTGACCAGGATAAAGATAATGGCTCATTCTGGGGCAAGGCTAAGCAAAGGCTAAGCAAACCCACTGTTCCATCCTAGCAGAGGAATGCCAAGCTTAGGCCACTCTGTGGGCTTTGGGAACATAAGCTTTGGGAACAAGGGAATATAAAGCTTATGTTATGTTATGCCTGTGTTATTAAGTAATAAAGTCTTATGTCTCTGACGCAGGAGTCCAGTGTCTTCTGTTAGTACCCATAAAACTGTGGCAAGTTAAATTGTTAGCTTGCAAAGTAGGGTAAAAGTTTCACAATTTTCGACATGGGGTAATCACTGTTAAGTCTGGAGTGCATCCTTTTCCTGTACAAATACCCCACAAATTATATACACAAAATTTTTCAACAAAAATGGAATATATATTGTTCTGACACTCCTTTTGTCACTGATCATTTATCATTTTAACGGTTGAAAGGTATTCCTCAATAGCATATGTCATATGTAATTCTTCCCCATTGATAGACATTGATAAACAAGTGTTTTCCTTTTTGTATACCACTAGCATCCAGTCTGCCTTTTATTGCCTTCCAGAATGACCTTCTCCCTATCCCATACCCCTGGTCACAATTCCCCTGTACCCCCAAGTCAAAGGACTTATCTCATTGCTCACTACTCAATCTAAACATTCGTCTATTATTCTAATAACCCCCTCTCAAGACTTTATTATTCGATTTTGCACTGATCACATTCTGTCTTATATTACTTGCTATTGTTACATTTGCTGTCAATAGATTAAAGCTTCCATAGTTGAGGTGTCGGTTCTGAGATCTCCCTCCCAGTTCTAGTAAGTGGTAGCCCTTGAAATATGCAGATGTGCCATACATTTCTGACAGGAAAAGTGGTTTGCCTTTTTTTGTCAAGTAGCTAATCAATCTGATTCATCCTCTTCCTTCAATTCTAGTCTTATTCAATAATTCCTTCTCCTTAGGTAGGTCCTCATTCACCCAAGTACTTATCAAGCACCCACCATGTGACAGACGACAAGTGAGGAGAAAGTGCTGGGATGAGCACCTCTGTGGATCATCCATCCATCTTTTGTATCCTTCTTGGTTTTTCCTTTACCCAAGTCCTGTACTTCACTCTTCTTCACCCGTGCTTCAGAAAAGCGGAAGTTGGTTAATTAATTCCATTTGTCTGACTTGGATGAGAGTTGACAGCAGACAAGGGGAAAGGCAGGGAAATGCCCTTAGACTGTTCTTACATGCACTCTCACACTTAATAGTCAAAGCCACCCTATGAAATAGGCACTACGTTATTAGCCTGACTTACATAAACGAGTAAACAGAGGCTTGAAGAAGTTAAAAAATAAATTGCCCTAAGTCCTCACTGGAGAGTGGTGGAGTCAGAATTTGAATCCAGGTTTAAAGAATCCAGTGCCGGCACTCTGCACCTATTTCGCTCTAGACACTCATTTCCCCTAAGGATCAGAGAAACTCAAAATAGGCCCCTTGTCGTCTCCGTAAGTCCGCAAGGTCCTGCCGGTTCCCAGTGAGCAGGGCACCGGCAAATACAGTCTGCGACCGCGAGACGTAAAGGGAGGAATGCTCCTCGGCGCCCCTCCCCAGTCTATCCTAAAGTCAAGAACGTCCGAGCCCGCCTTTCTCCGGGGGCGGGCTGCACTAAAACAGTAAAATCCCCCATTCCCCATCAGCGGTCGACTGGGGGCTCTCCCGAAGCGGCAGCTCTATAGGACCACTCTTCTACCCCAAGATCCCTCGGCTTCGGCCCCCTCGGTGCCAGGGTTTGCGGGGCCCCACGCTCAAAGTCTCAGGCTGGGGTCGACAACTGCAGAGAGGGTCGGGATAGGAAATTGCGGGTAGCGGCAGATGCGGGTCCCCAGGCATCCCGGAGGTTCCCACAGGTCTGCAGTGGGCCTACTTTGCGAAAAGGGCCCAGCTGCGGCGAGCCTCGTTCAAATCAGATGCCAGACAGTGTTTCTTCGGATCCATCCAAATAGGTCCCTAATTTCTCCTTGTGGGAGCCCTGGGCCTCCTTCCAGGCCGGAACCCAAGTGTTTAGGCAGCTGGGAAAGACCGGCCCCCTTTTTCAGTTCTCTCGCGACCTCTAGCCACTTCCGGTTGCTAACGGTTCCCAAGCAGCCCACGAAAACGCTACGTGAACTGGGCCCTGGGCCAGAGGCAGAAAACGGACGGAAGAAAAGGTCTGGCCGGTGAGTGTCAGAGTGAGAGCGAGGTTGGGTGGTGTTCTCTGCCGGTGGATAGGCTCGACCGTCCGGTTTGGGATTGGGGTTAAGTATTAGGGAGCGGTTCAAAATTATGCTAATTGTTAAGATTACGAGTATTATTTAAAAATACACACAACAGCAACAATACAATGAGTCCATGAAGATCAAATGTCAGTTAACTGATTTAAGCAGCTTTAATAGGAAGAAAATGCTGAATTTAAGGCTAACAAAAAGATCTAAGTGCGCTGTTAGGGACTAAGACTTTTATAACATTATGGGCCAATCACTCTTCTAAACCTTTCGCATTTGGTCACTCATTTAATTCCTACTTTATGAGGTAGATATCATTATAATACTGTTTTACAGATGGGGAACCTGAGTTTCAGAGAAAATAAGTGTATTAGCCAAGGTCATATAACTAGTAACTGGCAGAACAAAGATTCATATTCAGGCATTCTTCCTTTAAATTCTGTACTCTCGCCTTTCGTTGATAACCTGGTTTTATCAGCTTAGGAAATTTGCTGTCCAGATGAAAGTATAAGTTTCTACAGAGATACGTTATTGCAGCAGTGTTCTGAATCTCATCGGGTTTGTTGGCAATTTGTCTTTAAACAAAGAGTTTTTTGTTTGTTTGTTTTTGTTTTTTCTTTTTCTCTCTCTTTTTTTTTTTTGACAAGGGTGCCTTCCACAGAGAGATTTAAGGAGAAGAGAACAATAAAAATTTTCATTTTAATAAATAAGCCCCATTTCAATGTCCCCTCTCCAGTTTCATGCCTCTGATTCTTCTCTGTCATTATTTGTTTCTATTAGGTTAAATCATTTTACCTTTCTGGTATTTAACCATTTTGACCCACAAAAACAAGGGATTTCATTTGTTTAACCTAATACAGAGACATCTTTTCAAGCAGAATTTAGGAATCTACAACAATGAGCAAGATTATATTTTCATCTCCAAAATGTACCTTAAATCTGTTTGTTTCTCTTTATACCCACTGGGAACCCATGGTCCATGCCACCACCTTCTCTCACTTGGGTTACTACAGTAGCCTCTGGACTGATTTCCTTACTTCTGCTATTTTCTCATTCTTGCCTCTTTAAGAAGCCAGAATGATCTTTTAAAAACAAACATTGGATTATGTTCCTCCCTTCTACTAGTTCCCCATCACGTTTAGAATACACATCCCGGGCCCTGCTCACCTCTCTAACCTAATCTTGTGTGACCTTCCCCTTAATCCAGTGCTTTCAACATGTGACCTTTTTCAGTTCCTGTAACACACCAAATTCATTCCTAATCAGAGACTTTGCATTACCTCTCTCCTTTGTGTGGAATGGTCTTCTGCAGAACTGAAGGTCAGTTCTGTCTAATAAATAGGAAGATAATAGGATTCACCTATGTAATTTAAAACTTTCCTATTAATAGCCATATTAAAATGCAAAAAGGCAGGTGAAATTATCTTTAGTTTAAACCATCATATCCAAAATATTACTATATCAACATCTAATCATTATAAAAATTATTAATATCCTATATTCCATTTTTTGAAAGCCAGTGTGTTTATACTTATTGGACATCTCAATTCACATATTACATTTTCATAAATAATTTATACTGAGATTACATAAAATTTAAAATGGAAAAAATAGATTCACACATCCAAATTATTTCAAACATACTTAAAAGTTACCTAGTGAATTATGAGTTTTAAAGTTTAATTAAAATTACAAATTTAGTTCCTCAGTTGCAGAGCCGAATGTACTTCGTGGCTACTACACTGGACAGTACAGATTTAGATCAAGGATAAAATGTCTATGTTTATGTTTGGGTTAAGGGGCAAAGAAGAAAATTGCACCAGAAGTGTGGCAAGGAGGGAAGGGGAAGGTCTGCAAAAATGCAGTGTAAGCTCTTTATGCAAGTCACACTGAAGTCACATTACTAGTCCTCACTAGTAAATAAGGTAAGGCTTTCTAAAGTAGACTACTTTTTAGCATCATTGCTGCACTGATTTTAGGTATGTTGGGAATAATTTTCTGGGGTAGGAAAAGGGTCCAGTAGTGCTGGTCACATGTAGCATTTCTTTCTTCTCTTTCCTTCCTTTCCCTCCTTTCTTTCCCTCCTCTCTTTCATTTCCTTCTTTCCCTCCTTTCCCTTTCCCTTCCCCTTTCCCTTCCTTTTGTTTCTGCTGTTGTTGCCCAGGCTGGGGTGCAATGGCGCGATGATCTCGGCTCACTGCAACCTCTGCCTCCCGGGTTCAAGCCATTCTCCTGCCTCAGCCTCCTGAGTAGCTGGAATTACAGGCATGCGCCACCACGCCGAGCTAATTTTGTATTTTTAGTAGAGACGAGGTTTCTCCATGATGGTCAGGGTGGTCTGGAACTCCCAACCTCAGATGATCCACCCACCTCGGCCTCCCAAAGTGTTGGGATTACAGGTGTGAGCCACCGCGCCCGGCCACATGTAGCATTTCTAAGTAGAATTTTATTGTATATGATGTGGAACAGTCATAGAAATCTGATTATTTTCCTATAGTTCAGGGGTTCTCAACTGGGGGTGATTTTGCCTCTCAGGGGACATTTGCCTCACTCAGCCTGCCCACCAAATTGCCTGGAGACATTTTTGGATATCACAAGTGGAAGTACTAGTAACATCTAGTGGGTAGAGGCCAGGGATACTGCTAAACATCCTACAGTGCAGAGGACAGCCCCTGACATCAAACAATTGTCTGGCCCAGAATGTCAATAGAAATAGTGTCTCAAGGTTGAGAAACCTTGCTCTAGAGGATCTGAGTAAGAAAGACTGAGATACCTACTCTTTTAAAACCTCAGCCTAACTCCCTTGTAATATTATGATGGGAAAAACAGGTTGTTTTGAAGCATTTCCGTTTCCATTTGTTTCCACTGTTGATGGATTTTGTGATGAGACTATAATAAAATAATTTCATCCTCAGGATAAGAATGTAGACCATTTAATAAAGCTAATACAGTGTGTGCTGTACACATAAGACTCAAAGCACTTGGGATCAGGAGCTAGTCTTTTTACCTTTATATGGCTTGTATCAGATGATCCACTGTCTCCAACAATGATTGATGCCAATATATTAGAATCACTTGTCTATCTTTCCTATCTCCATCCCTTGTTTTATAGTTGTTCCTCTCCCTATGCCCTTGCCCTCCTTTTAAAATTATTCTCTTTTCATCCCTTTCTCCTCGTTTTCCCCCTTTTCATCAATACCCACTGACACCTCCTATAGACCCTCCCTCAGCACTCATCTATTTGTTCCATTCATACCTGTTGACACCCTTAGAACTGCCAGTTCACTACCATCCCATCTGTGTCTGAGAGAGCTGTCCCCCGTAATCCCTATAGCTGTCTGTTGTAATTACTGTCTTGTTAGTCCATGAAACTACAAAATATAAATTCTTGACTCCTCCCCCAGAAAAAAAAAAAACCCTCCAGAAAGATATGAAGAACAACAACACATTTGTTTTCGACACAACTCTCTGAGGAACTGCTTTCGATGTTCAGGGTTTTTTTTTTTTTTCAGACCAGGTGCTGTCCATTTGGGATGGCTCTCTTCTAGAACTGATACAGTGTCCAAAATATTACACCTCCTCTTCCAAGAAATGTGGCTTGATTGAGCTGTGTTATTTCTAACTGGTTGCACTCCCACCCGTTTCTTCTGTGGGTTTCTACATGCTTACTAAGACACTGCCTGCGTCTCCATAGTACCAGCAACTACTTTGATTTCCTTTGACCTCATGCCTCTTTTGCCTTTTGCCTGCAATTATCCTAGATCCCACTGACTGTTCTTCTCTTACCTACATCATGCTAGGCTGTCTCTGGCCCCATGTCTTTCTGTCCCTCCCTGACTCTTACCGTTACCCTTCTGATTAACATTAGACCAAACCTGTGGTGGGCACTGTGGTGGCAATTTGGAATCAACATAAAATCTAAAAAGGGGCCGGGCGCGGTGGCTCAAGCCTGTAATCCCAGCACTTTGGGAGGCCGAGACGGGTGGATCATGAGGTCAGGAGATGGAGACCATCCTGGCTAACACGGTGAAACCCCGTCTCTACTAAAAAATACAAAAAAAAAAAAACTAGCCAGGTGAGGTGGCGGGCGCCTGTAGTCCCAGCTACTCGGGAGGCTGAGGCAGGAGAATGGCGTGGACCCGGGAGGCGGAGCTTGCAGTGAGCTGAGATCCGGCCACTGCACTCCAGCCTGGGAGACAGAGCGAGACTCCGTCTCAAAAAAAAAAAAAAAAAATCTAAAAAGGGTAGAATGGTTGTACTGCTCCAGACTGCTCTTCACTCAGCCTTTAAGGGTGCAGAACTCTAAGACTAGAACAGCTCTTTGTACATAATACGTATTCAAAACTACTAGCTGAATGGAATGTTCTGTCATATATAGCAGAAGTCCCCACGTCCCCACCATGGCCAGGAAATCAGGAGGTGAGGGGCCAGTGAGCAAGCAAAGCTGAGCTCTACCTCCTGTCAGATGAGCAGTGGGATTAGATTCTCACAGGGTCGCAAACCCTATCGTGAACTGCACATGCGAGGGATCTAGGTTGCACTTTCCTTATGAGAATCTAATGATAAATGAAACCACACCCACTTCCCTGTCCCTGGAAAAATTGTCTTTCACGAGACCAGTCCCTGGTTCCAGAAAGGTTGGGGACTGCTGATACAGAGGATAAAGGAAAATCAGTCTGTCATGTGTTTACCAATTTTAGGAAATCTACTCTTGGGGTAGCCAAAATCATCTTTCTTACCATTGCAGAAGCCTCCCTAAATTCAAGGAAGGATAAGATCAGAAATGTGAGTTTCCCCTTTAAAGATCTGAACACTTCCTAAGCATTGTAGTGTTTCTCAGAAAGATTAAAGGTAAAAGGGGAAAAGCCATTATTCAGAAAGCACCTAACTTTATTTTTAAAATAAGGATGTTTCTAATACTAATATTAAATATTTCATACTTTACTTTTCAGGACCATTAAAGAAAATCCTTTCTTTGACTGTTTCAAATTCTTTGAAATATTGCTCAGGTAATTATAGTAAGTCACAAAACAAGTATACGTGTGAAACCTGACATTAAAAAATGTGTTGATGTAAGATATTCAAAGTAAATATACATTTTTTTTAAAGGACCATTATGTTAAAGGGACATAAAAGCTCAGTTTATGTTTAGGGCATTATGAGAAATACCTCAAGATTCATTTTCTTGGCGGGGCATGGTGGTTCATGCCTGTAATATCCAGCACTTTGGGAGGAGGATGGGAGGATTGTTTGAGGCCATGAATTCGATACTAGCCTGAGTAACATAGTCAGACCCTATCTCTAAAACAAACAAAATACCCAGACACGGTGGTGTGTGCTTGTAGTCCCAGCTACTCGGAAGGCTGAGGTGGGAGGATCGCTGGAGCCCAGGAGTTCCAGGCTGCAGTGAGGTATGATTGTGCCACTGTACTCCAGCCTGGACAATGAGGCTAAACTCTTTATTATTATTATTTTTTAAAGATTCATGTTGCTATAGTTGTAGACATAAAAATGATTCTTGTAGTTTTCCTGATCTTAAACACAACGATAAAGCAGGTGTTCTTAATAGATATCTTCAATTGAAATCTCTTAATTGAAAACAAGAGATTTGAAGAGGTTAGATCACTTCTTTCCTGATTGTTTTGGTGATCATTATTCCTAGAACTAAGCAAAGAACCAGAGTTCTGCTCTTGGCAGTTTGATTGGTGGTGTGAATTTGAATGTGCAAGGCCTTCGGCCACAATTCCTGTCATGGTATAAGATTCTCAAATTAGTGATGTGGCCAGGTGTGGTGGCTCACACCTTTAATCCCAGCACTTTGGGAGGCTGAGGTGGGCAGATCACTTGAGTTTGAGACCAGCCTGGCCAACATGGCAAAATCCTGCTAAAAATACAAAAATTAGCCAGGCATGGTGGTGCATGCCTGTAATCTCAGCTACTCAGGAGGCTGAGGCAGGAGAATCGCTTGAACCCGGGAGGTGGAGCTTGCAGTGAACAGAGGATCACTCCAGCCTGGGTGAAAAAAAGACAAAAAAAGTATATATCTGTGCTATCCAATATAGTGGCCACTAACATGTAGCTATGAGCACTTGAAATGTGAGGAACTGAATTTTCCATTTTATTTGAGTTAATGTGAGTACTGGGCACCAATCTGGACAAACTGGACCAAGTTAGATCAACCTCTTCCTATCTCCCTCAGTTTAAAATAACCTGAAATCCAGAAAAGAATTTATTTATCTAGTTATAGATCCTTTCCTCTCCCCAGCAACTCCTAATGATCACAGACTGCCTTCTCCTCCATTTTGTTTTCCTCAGCCTCCTTTTTTTCTTCTTTTTGAGATAAGGTCTTGCTGTTGCCTAGGCTGGAGTGCAATGGTGCAATCACATCTCACTACAGCCTTGAACTCCTGGGTTCAAGTGATCTTCCCACCTCAGCCTCCTAAATAGTTGTGTGGGACTACAGGTGTGTGCCACCATGCCTGGCTAATTTTTCTTAAGTTTCTGTAGAGGTGGGGTCTCGCTGTGTTGACCAGGCTGGCCTTGTCTTCTGATGGCTTATTCTTTATCACTGGCAAACAAAAATTTCCAAAAAATAATCATACTCCCCATTTTAACATAAAAAAGGGATATTTAGGATATTATATGAGTAATGATGGAAAACAAATAATTAGCATTGTTTTTATCTTAATCTCAAAAGTAGTTTTCATCTGTTTTAACTTGTCAAAACATACCTGGTGAGCTTCCATTATCATCTGTACAGAAAGGGAAATGAAGGCAGAGAAAAACTGTATGTCTTGCCTAAAGTCAGACAGTGAATGGTCAACTAAAAGGATCTAGAGCAGAGACAGAATTAATTCACTGTCTTTCATCCAGGAACCATTGATCTTGGACTGCAGGTGAGCAGTGTTGTCAGTGGACAAAGCTTTCTGAAAGAATTCTTGATTCCCCCTCAAAACTGAACTAATTTGAAATAAAAGGACATTTTACTCAGGTAGATTCTTTGGTGCCAGAGAAATTTAATGATGACTGAAGCTTTGACCACACTGAGGAAACTCAAGGTTTCTAAATTAGATTCTCTGATAACTAGTTAGGTCTGAGTGTCTAAAGAACTTTTGATATCACTACTATATTAGTAGAGTTTATTTGCGGTATGAATTCTTTGATGTCTAATAAGAGCTGAACTTACTCGGAAAGGTCTTCCACACTCATCACATTCATAGGGTTTTTCACCTGTGTGGATTCTCTGATGTTGAATAAGACCTGTGCGCCCACTGAAATCTTTCCCACATTCTTTACATTTATAGGGTTTTACTCCAGTGTGTACTCTATGATGTCCAATGAGATGTGAGCGCTGAATGAAGGCTTTTCCACACTCGTCACATTTATAGGGCTTCTCTCCAGTGTGAGTTCTCCTGTGTTTACTAAGGTCTGAGCTATGACTGAAACTTTTCCCACATTCATCACATTTATATCGTCTTCTTTCCCTCTGTTGCCATTCTGATCTGCCCTCATTTTCCATAATATCTTTGGACTTAGGATGCTGAGGAGTATCTTTGTTCAGTCTGTCATTTATCTCCCCAAGGAATTCCTTGTCTTTGGGCATATCTTCCTTCTGGAACAACTCTTCATTCTTAGTCCTAGTTTTATCACCTGTAACAAACAAACAGTACACAAACGGGTCCTATTGTATGTTTGAGAAGCAAACAGCCTATGGAAGAAAGAACACGTAAATGTTATAAATGTGTTATAAAATAATGAGAAGTCAACATAACAACACACATCAAATATTTGGTACCATCTTATTTTTGGTATCATCATAGCACAGAGTCATAATGGAGGGAAGAAATTAAGAAGGAAGATATCAGCAGAAGAAGTTGTTTGAGAGTAGATTAAGAAGAAAAGGCAAAAATAGAGCTCAAGAGATAAGCTAGCAATACTGTATAAGGGAAGAAGGATAAATGAGAGGACTATAGATATGCCAAGGATAATTAGAGAAACTGGAGAACAGAGATGGGGATGGAGGTAAAAGTTTGGGAGAAACATGCAGGGGCCTGAAACATAGGTGGCAAGTAAAATCAAGTAAAAGTGAATGGAGAGGATAATAGGATTTGGGGTCTGAGAGGAATATAGTGAATAGGAACCATCCAAGGAGAGGCATGTGTTTGAAGGATAATAATTAGCTGGAAGCAGGGTGACAACATGCAGGTCAGGGTAAACAGAGGAATGAAAAGGAATAGGAAATGACAATGGATAGTCAGTGTATATGCTGGATAAAATATTTTTTTCCTGAAACTGATGTTCTTGCTGTTATCGCCTCCTGTCTAAATCCTAGCTTAGTGGTTTCTAACCTTACTGTGCATCAGAATCAGCTGGATGGTTTATTAAAACACAGATTGCTGATTTTCCCTCCCACAGATGACTCCTTATCAGAATCAAACTCAGAGCAGTTGCTATTCTTAGAATATTATTCTCTGATGCTATTTTTTTTCTCTGTTTCTTTGCCTAAAATGTCACCCCCTTTCAGTTCCCACATGACCTTCTCAGCTCAAGCAAGCCTACTCTGTGATACTTTTGCAGGTGCACCTTAGGGATAGCTATCCTCTTTGCAGTTCACAGTGTATCTCTAGTACAGTAATTATTATGCTATTGTAAGTGCTCACTCTCCTGCTTCTTGAAGAGAAGTAATGTAAGTGTCTTACCTTTGGATTCCTTACATTTAGTATAGTGCCTGGCATACAGCTGCTACTTAGTAAATGCTCAATGAAAGATGAATGAATCAAAAGATGGGTTGAGCTAGGCACAGTGCTTATAATCCTAGCACTTGGGAAACTAAGGTGGGAGGATCACTTGAGCCCAGGAGTTTGAGACAAGCCTGGGAAACATAGTGAGACCTCTCTTCTAAAAAAAAATAAAATAAAATAAAAATAAAAAAGAACAGATAGGAGGTTCTCAATCTCACTTCTAAAGTCAAACAGTAACCAGTACTCCACTCCTAGAGTTAAAGCACTTAAAGGCTTCTTTATGTTACATATAATTAAATGTCATCCTTTCCAGATAGCAGCTAGGAACATCTTCGCTCAAAATAATCTTTCAGATTAGACAAATCATTGGGTAGGGATCCTACAAAATGGGAGAACTATATTGGTAAAACTTAAGTAGTAAGAATACAAAATAGGCTGGAGTATAAGGAACTACCCGGAGAGGCATTATTAGACATGAGAGCCTCTAGAGAAAGGGCGGTAAGCACTGAAAAAGGTAGGGTTTGGACAAACTGGAATTTAAAATTCACCTGCTTTTTAATGTAGCCTGGGGGATACACTAGACACCCTCGTTTGTAATTAGGGAGCTGGGATGGGGGACCAAACCCAGTTAATTTGACATGCAGATAAAAACAAGAAACTCTGCTGTACTGACTGATCATTGTCTCTTTTCCCTACTTCTTTCATCATGGGAATGTGTTATGGATTGACTTGTCTTCCTCCACAAATTCACACATTGAAGCCCTAACCCCTTTCAAACATTACTGTATATGGTGATAGGGCCTTTAATGAAGTAATTAAGGTTGAATGAATTCATAAGGGTAGGACCCTAATCCAGTAGTACTAGTGTCCTTACAAGGGGAAGAGACACCAGGAGTGTGTGTGTACAGAGAAAGGCCATGTGAAGACACAGCAAGAAGTCTGCAAGCCCAGGAGAGAAGCCTCACTAGAAACTAACCCTGTAAGCATCTTCTTCTTGGACTTCCAGCCTCCAGAACTGTGAGAAAATAAATTTCTATTGTTAAGCCACCCATAAGTCTATGATATTTTGTATGGCAGGCCTCGCTGACCAATACAGGGTGCCATAAGTTCTCCTGTCTCAAAATGGAAATTTAGGGAGATTTGGAACTAGAATCATTAGATAACAACAGAATTATAAGGATATTAAATAAACTCCATCCTCATCCCTTGGGCCAAATAACAGCTTTTTTTGTCCAGTGAGAAACTAAAATATAACTCTATCATGGAGCAAGGGTAATAACAGGAGAAAATTATCCACAGTGAGGTGGAGGACAAGCAGGGAATCTTTAAAAGGAGAAAGTTCTCCTCTCACCTAAGGAAGCACCTCTTCCCTCATATACTTAGAGCTGTTCCTGCTTACCATTCCTTTGTGGTTTCCCAGCTTCCTGCTCCAGTTGGGTCTTCTTGGGATGGAGCTGGACAGTCAGTGATTCATATGGCCTTCCCAAGGGGGCCAACTTGTCCATGAGTATGTCCTGTCTCTCTGAATTGCCTGGGACCTAGGGAAAATAAGGTGTGTAAGGTGAACTTTATGGAAACTTAAGTAACTTCAGATAATCAAATGAAACATCTGCCAGGGACATAGGAAGGGGGGACAAATTCTCATTTCATTGTAAATGGCAATAATGGCTAGGAAAAGGAACAGAGGCTAATCTCTACAATTCAGGACACTAGAGAGTAAAATTCAGTGTCTCTTCTTTCATTGAGCTGCAGAAGTCCAGGATCAGAGCACTGGGATTTGGAAGGTAGCTTAAAAATCATCTAGCCCAACTTCCAGCAAATGGGAGCATTTCTTCTATAACCATTCTGTCTGATATGGTAGTCACTAGCAAAATGTGGTCACTGAGTACTTAAAATATGGCTAGTACAAATGAGATAAATATCGTGGGTTAAAAATGTATTTCACCTGTTTTTGTTTTTTTAATGTGGCTACTAGAAAATTTAAATACATATACAGCTTTCATTACATTTCTGTTGGACAGGTCTATTCTGCAATATCCTTGACATCTACTTGAATCTCCGCTTGAATACCTATATGGAAAGGGAGTTTCTTATGGGGTAGCCTATTTTATTTATGGGTATCTATGAATGGCAGAAAATTATTTCTTTTCCTCTAATACCTGATTGCCTTTTGGTAACTTCCCATTGATCTTAGCCTTCCAAACAGGCATAGAATCAGTCTAGTGACTCTTTTCTCTTTACCCAGCCACACTTTAATTATTTGACATAGGTAGTCAGGTCCTTTCCTATGCCTTGTTCTTTAGAGTATAAATATTTTGAGATGTTTTTTCATATGCCTTTTGCTTTGGCTCCGTCCATATGCCCTTATCACTCACAGCCAGATGACTGCCCCTTCACACCTGCTTTCCAGGTTCATCAAGCTCTCTCTCCAGATCCTCCAGCACAGTCACTGCCTCCTCTCCAGTCTCTGGATGGTGTGCCTGCACCCATGCTTGCAGGTCTTTAGGAAGAATGCTCAGGAACTGTTCTAGCACCAGCAGGTCTAAAATCTGCTCCTTGGTGTGGCATTCTGGCCTCAACCACTGACGGCAGAGCTCCCACAGCTGGGTAAGAGCTTCACGGGGTCCAGGTGCATCCTGATAGCAGAGCTTCCTGAAGTGCTGTCTACAGAGTTCCCTCCTGTGAGGACTGCACTTTGGTGAGCTGGAATCCTGTCCCCAGTAATGGTCTTCTGCCTTAATTATCGGAAGTCCTTTTCGTTCCTCAGGTTCCAGGGCTGTGGTCATTCTGGGCTCTGTCAGGAGAGATTGAGTCAAAGAGAATCTCTTAGAATCCTGCCTCAGAGACACTCCTAAGGCATAAAAAGTTGTTACCATAGAGAAATTACAAAAATTGCTGTGAACATAAACACATCATAATGAAGCCAAGCCACCAGAAGTCAATCAGAGAAAACAGTCTTATAGGAAGCTGAAAACAACAAAACAAAACAATAAACAGTGACGCAGGGACATGGTTTGAATCTGTGCTCTATTGTGTAACTTAGAGGGAGTTATTTATTTGGACTAGAACTACAGATCCTCATGTACAATTCTCATGTGTGTTACAGGGTTGATACATAGATTACATGAGAACGTATGCAATGTCTCTGGCATGGCAGCAGGCACTAGTAAGCACTAAATAGACACCAAGTATTATTAACTGCTTTGTTAAAAGGCTCTTCATTCTGTTACTATGAGATGCATGGGCCATTTGTGTCCCCAGGATTCACTGGTTATAGGATATGTGTGCCAACCCTGGAAGGGAATCAGATGCCTCTGCAAAGGAACCCGCAACCAGTGTCCCCCTTCCACCCGTCCTCTCCCAGAAGGTCGGGCCAACTCCTCTCCCGTAGATGTGTTGGGGGACGGACGGAGGGAGGGAGAGGAGTATTACACTCTGCCCGCGACAGGCAGGTGTGGGGAGGGTGTTGCTGCTGACCACAGCTGCGCCTTGTCCCCTTTTCTCCACCTGGGAGCCGGGAGACACTCACCTTACGCGCGGGGAGGAACAGGTGCAATAGCTAGCGTCCTTTGGACAGCCCCGAACAAAGACTAGACTCAAAGACACCAATCAGCGCCCGGCCGCTTCAGCCGGGCACTTCCGGGCCGCTCTAGGAAGCTTCGCCTCTGTGGCAGCTTTAGGGCTTGCCTCCTCAGCCCTAGGCAGTGGAGGACCCGGGTTCTACACCTCGTATTGATGGGATTGCGGGGCCTGCGAGCAAGTCTTATTTCTACTTTTTAAAAATGTTTTCCAGTTTAATTATTAAATAAGTAATATGGATAAGTAATGCATTCACATACATTTATTAAAAAGAGTAAATGTCCCCCAGCGTCTAGTTTGACAGTATTTTTCGTGACTTGTATATCCTTCCATAGATACATTACACCGTTACAGATTGTCTGCGCTTTTTCCCCTCTGCATAAAGAGTAGCATTTCTGTAACTTTCTTATTTTTCTTTTTACCAAGTGATCTTGATAAAGACTGTACATAACTGTTTCCTTGATCTTGGTCTTTTTAAACAACTGCACAGTATTCAACTGTGTATTATGTGCCGTAATATATTAAACTACCCCATTGGTGGTCATGAGGTTGTTTCCAATTTTTCTTTTTCAAACATTGCTGCAATAACATACCGTGAACTCACATTTTTCATGTGTAAGGATATATCCATAGTCTGCATTTCTAGAAAGGGAGTTACTACAGCATAGAAGAGGGAAATTTGTACTTTTGTTAATGCCAAATCACCAATCATAGAATCTACTAGCAATATTCTTATTTACCTATACTTGTCAACACAGTGTTATAAAATATTTTGATCTTTGCTAAACTGATGGTTGAAAAATGCTCTTAGTTTTTTCCTCCCTCTTCCCGTTTCTTCCACAAATATTGATTTACCTACTATGCCAGGCACTATTGTGGAAGCTGGAACTAATTTTGAGCAAAACAATGCCCTTTCTTTCATGGAATTTATAATCGTGTGTGTGTGTGTGTGTGTGTGTGTGGTGGCAAGGCAGGCAATAAACCAAAAAAAATATAGTATATAGATGGTGAATATTAGTGCTAAGGAGAAAATAAAGGAAATAGGGAATTTGGGGTGAGAATGAAGTGATACAGTTTAAATAGGATATTCATGGAGGACCTGACTAGTAAATTGACATTTGAGCAAAGATTGAGGGAGCTGAGGGAATGGGCCATCAGGGATAAAGATGTTTCAGGGAGAGGGATAACAAATGCAAAAGCCTGGAGTGAGGTGTGTTTTAAGTAATTTGGGCAAAGGAAGGATACTTGTTTTTCTGGAGCTGAGTGAGCAAAAGAGCATTGGGTGGAGAGAGAGTGAGAACCTTCGGTGAGTGCAAGAGTATTTTTACTCTAAAATGATAAAATGCTAAGCTACTGAAAGTTTATTTTCTTTTCTCTTTTCTTTCCTTTTCCTTTTTTTTAAGTGATGGGTCTCATTCTGTCACCCAGACTGGAGTGCAGTGAGTGGTGTGATCATAGCTCACTGCAGCCTGAAACTCCTGGGCTCAAGTGATCCTCTTGCCTCAGCCTCCTGACTAGCTGGAACTACAGGTGTGAGCTACACAGCATGGCTCATTCGAGATTTCTGAGTAGATAAGTAACATGATTAAACTTGGGTATTGAAATTATTATTTTGGCTGCTATGTTAACAGTAGACTTGAATGTGAAGGGGTTGGGCAAGGGCAGAAGCAGGGAGACAGGTTGGAAAACTGGACTGGGAAGGGGCTTTTTAAGAATAACGCAAAACCCTAAAGACATAAAACTGAAAAGGCCATGGACGAAAAGATAAATGAAACTGGTCTTGTAAAATTAAAATATTTGAATGAAAAAAGTAAAAATAAAATATAAATTAAAAGTAAAATATGCCACACATCTAAAAGACACAGCTGATTTTCCTTATATACAAAGACCTTTTATCTTACCAAAAAATAAAAATATGAACAAGCCAATAGAAAAATAGACAAAGTACTTAACCTGCATGCATTTATTGTCAGGCCTCTGACAATATGATACAAAGCCATCATAACCCCTGTGACCAGCAAGTATACATCCAGATGACCTGGAGCAACTGCAGAACCACAAAAGATGACATTCCACCATTGTGATTTGTTCCTGCCCCACCCCAACTAATCAATCGACCTTGTGACATTCCCCCCACCCCCGACAATGAGTCTCATGATCTCCCCACCCTGCACCTTGTGACCCCCGCCCCTGCCCACAAGAGATAACCACGTTTAACTGTAATTTCCCACTACCTACCCAAATCCTGTAACACTGCCCCATCCCTATCTCCCTTTGCTGACTCTCCTTTTGGACTCAGCCCACTTGCACCCAAGTGAAATAAACAGCCTTGTTGCTCACACAAAGCCTGGTGGACTCTCTTCACACGAACTCAGATGACATTTATAGAACACAAAACTAAGAATAATGAATATGAAAAGATTCACTAATAAGAATTTAAATAAAACAAGAAAGATGTTTAAAAATCTTTCAGATTGCTAAAGACAAACAATTTATAATATTCAGTGTTAGGAAGTGTATGGATATACGGGCATACTTAGTTGTACATTTTTAGAAGGTAAGACTTATTTAGAAGGTGAGAAGTTGTCCATACCCCTTGATTCAAAACTTAGCTTCCTGGATTTATCTATATAGAAATGCTTACTTAAATGTTTGAACGTATGTACAAAGAAGCACTGTTTATTTAAATTGGGAAACTCGAATGCCTAATATTTGGAATTTAAATTTCTATATGTCTGTTCATTAAAATACCACCCAGTTTTTAGAAACTAAGAGATGCCAAAGGTATATTGAGTAAAATAAAAAGTTACAAAAGATATGGTATGATTGTTTTTGTGAAAATTATTATCTTAAAAATGTTGGCCAGGCATGGTGGCTCACACCTGTAATCCTAGCACTTTGGGAGGCCAAGGCAGGCAGATCACGAGGTCAAGAGATCGAGACCATCCTGGCCAACATGGTGAAACCCCGTCTCTACTGAGAATACAAAAATTAGCTGGGCGTCGTGGCATGTGCCTGATAGTGCCAGCTACTCAGGAGGCTTAGGCAGGAGAATCACTTGAACCCAGGAGGTGGAAGTTGCAGTAAGCGGAGATCATGCCACCGCACTCCAGCCTGGTGACGGAGTGAGACTCTGTCTCAAGAAAAACAAAATAAAGTAAAATAAATAAATAAATAAATAAATAAATAAAATTCACCGTGAGTATCAGTTGGGGGTAATCTTAAGGAGAACTTGCATTTTATACATTGTATATTTCTGGAATATTTCAATTTCTTATGAAGATTTGCTACTGGGAAATGGGAAAAGATAATTGTTCTTAAAACCCTATTTATTCTCCACAACCTATAAATTGATGGAGAATTTCATCAATATCTATTTTCCTCCTCTGAAATTCTTTGCTTGACAAGTCAAAGATAAGTAATGAATTCACATAAATTTATTAAAAAGAATAAATGTCCCCAGCATCTAGTTTGACAATTTTTTTTTTTTGTGAAATGTATATCCTTCCGTAGATATATACCTTTTGTAGATATATACCTTTCATCTTAAAGGAATTATGCCTTGTAAAAGGGTATAATTCCTTTAAGATGAAAATCAGATTCAAATTCCCTGTGCTTTTAAACAGTAAATATAAGTGAGCAAATAAATTTGTGTGAAACATTTAGAAAGTGTAGATATAAATAATTTTCAAATAAACTTTAGAACACTCTCCACTCTGGAAAGAAAATTTTAGAAAAAGTATAACCCCTGCATTTCTTTCCATTAGAAGTACATGATCAAAAGCCAAAGTCCCTTTTTCCCTTGACTGTGACATAACATGTCCCTCATAGGCAACTGAACAGATAAAAAATCCAGACAATACTTAGTAATTTCCTGCTTCCCCTTTAGTGCACAGTGTATTATCAGTATGTTTTGCTCTCTTTATTTTAAATATCTTACTGAATTAAATTATCTCATCAGGTTTTTAAGCACAAGCCCAGCCTGCTTTCTGGATGACACCTGCCACAGGTCAACCTTCCTAAACTTCCTAAATAGCCCAGAATATTCAAATATGCCCCTGGCTCATCATCCAACTTCAGAGAATTAACTGGCTAGCACCTTGGAGCACCTGCTGTGGTAACGTGAGTGGCTGAACACCAGACAAAAGGAGGATTCCAATCATTGTTGCAGATCTTGTTAAAATCCTGGCTCTATCCTCAGCTTAGGTGTATTCTTCCTGTACTAGGATAAAGCCTCTCTGACGTCTTCATTAGTCTAAGTATACAGTCTGGTATATGACAAGCAGGACCTTCCTCTCCTGCCCCTGTATCTTCCAAAACTACAAAAACAGAAAGCCCCAACCTTCTCACCCCTGCCACACACAAATCCCCACAGTGGACTATTTAAAAAAATAACAGTACTTGGTAGATGTATATTCTCACTTGCTTTCGTTATAGAAAAAAGAAAGAAAATAAATGAACTAAGCATCCAACTCAAGGAATTACAAAAAGGAGAAAGCCTCCCCTGCCCCCAAGGAAAAAGCTAGAAAAAAATAAAGTAAAAGCAGAAGAAAATTGATTAGAAAATAGAAAATAGAAAAATAGTGACATTAATAAATAAATACAAAAATAAAATCTTTGTTAACAAGCCTATGGTAAATCCAATTGAGAGAAAACATTTAAACATTATAAATTACAAATAGCAGAGGAAAATAGCCTGCTAACATTTTTGAAAATCTCAATGAAATTAGTGATTTTCTGGGAAAAAATATTAGTTCCAAAATTCATTTGAGAAGTGGACAAATCTAAATAAGCTAACCCTACCCTAAAGACAATAATTGAAAATGTTATGAAAGAATAATCTCTGGACTCAGATAATTCTGTAGCATTTTAATTTTTCAAAAGCATTTACATGTGTGTGATGAATTCTTTCTAACTTTTCCATTTGGAATATACAGAAATTGGAAGAAAAAAGGGGAAATCTAATTACCTAATTAC